ACTCTCCTAAGTGAGCCAGGGGGCTGGCCTTTAAAATAACTTTAAATTATAAAAAACTTTATAATTTTAGGGCCAGCCCGTGGCTCACTTGAGAGAGTATGGTGCTGATAACACCAGGGCTATGCATTCGGATCCCTATATAGGGATCGCCAGATCGCTCACTGGCTGAGCGTGGTGTTGACAACACCAAGCCAAGGGTTAAGATCCCCTTACTGGTCATCTTTTAAAAAATAAATAAATAAATAATAAAAAAAACTTTTAATAATAAAACCTTAAATTCTAAATGTGCAACCATGTAAATGCAGAGAAAACTCCACATCATAGCACTATGTCTTTATGACAGAAATGTCCCATCTCATCTTCTCTGCATTTTATTTAATGTAACAACAAGAATAACACACTGAACTGCAAACCAGAATATGCAAACTAGAAGCTTTTAAAAAACAGTCTGGGGCCAGCCCTGTGGCTCAATTGGGAGAGTGCAGCGTTGGTAGCGCTGAGGCCACGGTTGGGAGCCTATATAGGGATGGCCGGTGCACTCACTGTCTGAGGGTGGTGCAGACCACACTGTGCCGAAGGTTGCGATTCCCATACCGATAAAAAAAAAAAAACAGTCTGGTCTCTGGTGGGAGGATTATAAAAGAAATTACAAAAGAAGATTGCATAAATTGATTGAATAAAATCTTTTAATTTATTAAAACACAAAGCATACTAATTGAAGAGCATATAACAAAATGAGAAATATATATGCCAAAAAACTTTGTCTTTAGCATTAAAGGTATGCATATATTATTAGACATTATGTCTACATACATATAATTACATGATTTCAATTTTAAAATATATTTTTTATTTTTATTTATTTATTTATTTATTGGCAGCTGGCTGGTTTGGGATCTGAACCCATGGTGTTAAAAGTGTTATAAGTGTTAAAAGTGTTATAAACCTCTGTTCTTATAAATTTTTTTTTTAAAGTAAAAAAGAAAACTTGGGAAAACGAATATAAACAGACATTTCACACAAATCAGCTCACTAATATCAGAAAAATAAATGAGCATTTTAATCACATTGGCAAAGATTTTTTAAAAGACAGTAGTGCTGGCAAGGGTCATGTATAAACTGACATGATAATTCTAGAAATTAATTTGGCAACGTGTATCATGAGCTTTAACACTTTTTAGGGTAATAAACTTAGGTAATTCCTACCAAATTTTAAAACAAAAACCTCTGAAAAATAAAAACTTAATACCGAAGAAGAGATATGTCAAAAGATCAATTAAGCACATTGTAGTCACCAAAAATAGACTCCAATAAAAGGGAATTTAAAATTTGGAAAGGCAACATTTCAAATCAGAGAAAAAGAAAGATTATTTAGTAAGTGATGCTGGATAACTGGCTGACTATTTGGAAAAGAAAATAAAGCTGGATAGCTTACCTTATTCCTTACACCAAAGTAAGTTCTGTGTGGATCAAATTTAAAAGTAAAAAATAAAACTGCAAAAATACTAGACAGAAATATTTTCTCCCACTCTGTTGGTTGTCTTTTAACTCTGTTAATTGTTTCTTTTGCTGT